AGGACACGGGAGGCCATGTCTTGGAGACGAGGCAGGGAGGGGTGACCAAGGCGGTGGTGCCAAAGGAGAGACTGGTGGGACAGGAGACGAGACGAGCAGGAAGCAGACTCAGGACCAGACCTGGACGCTGCAGCAAACACCTAACTCGACGCAGCTACCTGACCAGACTCAGCAGCCGGAGGAGACTCAGTAGTCAGTGTGTACAGGCTCGACCCCGGCCGACGGGTAAACGTGGCCAAGTGACGGCCCGTCCGAGCACACATATAGTGGGTCACCCGCTGACTCGCAGGAGTGAACTGGTCAACCCCCCCATCCTGTAGATCAGCTCCACTCACCAAGTTTGTAGAGAACGAGGGGAGGTAGAGACCTGACTGGGTACCAGAGGGGACTACCGGACACGGTAAGACAGTGGAGAAGCGAGCAACGACAGGACCCCCAGAGGGGTCCGCCAGGGAGACCGCAACCGGCTGACTAAGCGGCGTAAGCGTGGTGCGGTCTCAAAAGAAGGAGCGGGAAGCACCCGAGTCAAGGGTGAAGGTGTGTAAGGCCTGAGCCGACGTGGTACCAGAGAGAGCAGACTCACCAGCACCTGGGGCAGCAGACGCACTAGCACCTAGAGCAGCAGCCTCACCAGCACCTAGAGCAGTAGCCTCAATGCCCGCGTCAGGCGGAACACACAGGTAACAGTCACCGTCATCACTAGCAGACACAGCATACATGGCAGCAAGAATAGCATCATAGTCAAGATCAAAGATACCAACCCCCGCCCTAGACAGCTCTCCCCAGCGAGGGATCTCAGTGGCGTCAGGGAACTGGTGACGCCAAGCGTCCATCAGGCGGCCGAAGCAGCGCTGGGAGGAGTGCGAGCCCCTGCACTGCTCACCAGCGCGGTCGCCGGTACGAAGGACGTAGGTACAGGGACAAGTACCCCCACCCCGCTGACGTGCAGCGTACCACTCACGAAGCTGCTGGGGGAACGGGGTCTCACGAGTGCGCTGCTGCTGCTGGCGCTGACCACCACCTAAGCCGCCTCGCTGCGCAGAGCCACCCCGACTGGCTCCACCTCCTCCGCCGCCACCGCCGCTGCTACCGCCACCGCCTCCTCCTCCGCTCCCACCGCCATCGCCGCCGGCGCCTCCGCTGCCACCGCCGCCACCGAAGCCCCCACCCGCGCCACCACTCCTACCACCACCCCCACTCCCTCTGCCTCCTCCGCCTCCACCTCCACCTCCCCCGCCAGCCCCTCCAGCGCCCTTGCCCCCTTTGCCCTTGCCGGTGCGGCATCGCCCGCTAGGGGCAGACGCAACGCCAACCGACTTGGTGCCAACGAAGTCGACGGCAGCGCCAGAGGCAACAGAGGGCAAAAGGGGGGAGGGGGAGCACCCCTCAAAGACAGGGGCACGAGTGTCACCTCTAGAGGCTCCTACAGCGACTATACTCTTCTCACCTGCCAGGAGGCGCTCCTCAAGGAGGTCAACGGTGAGTGTGGTGGGGCAAACAGAGAGGAAGTGGTCCCTGACCGAGCGAAGGGAGTCAGGGAGCCGGGTGACTATGTAATAGAGGGTGATGTACATGGGGGGGGGGGTCTTGGCGCAGAACTCAGCAGGAAGCGCAGCGCGGTAGCGGGTGTCACTAGTGCGAAGGTGCGTAACGAGGTCAGCGACAGTGGGAAAGGCGGCGAGGTCAGGAAAGAGGTACGGCAGGATGAGGCGACTAAGAGCAGCAGTGGCAGGGGAAGAGTAGCGTCCAACTACAAGGTCTTAGCACTCTTGTACTGACTAAAGTGCGCACGCTCAGCGGTCGGTAAGTGGCGACGCACAGCAAGACGGGTAGCAGCATCGCGTGTGGCCCACTGTGAGCGAACAGTGCTGTCAGCATTAGCAGGCGGGGCAGGAGAGGCACTAGAGGTGAGATCAAACAGGGAGAGTCCGTCTGACCTATCGCACTGTAGGAAGAGCTCGAGGTCATCGACCCAGACCTCAAAGTCAACAGCACGACCCTCAGCATCAAAGGTAAGGACACTGGGGGTAGCCATGACAGCACTGGTCTAGCAGGGAGTGCCCTCACCAGTCCGGGTGGGTAGGGCCGATGCGCGCCGGTAGGAACAGTAGCGGCTCGACGGTGGCTCGGCGGCAGCGGCTCGGTAGTAGCGGCTCGACGGCGGCCTCGGCGGCTCGGCTGCTGGGCGGCTCGGCTGCTGGGCGGCTCGGCTGCTGGGCGGCTTGGCGGTTGGGCGGCTCGGCGGCTCGGCTACTTGGCAGGTGAAGGGGTCGTGAAGGGCGGCGACGGGGCCGCTAGAGGCGGCGACAGGGCCGCGAAGGGCGGCGACGGGGCCGCTAGAGGCGGCGACGGGGCCGCGAAGGGCGGCGACGGGGCCGCTAGAGGCGGTGACGGGGCCGCGAAGGGTGGCGACGGGGCCGCTAGAGGCGGCGACGGGGCCGCGAAGGGCGGCGTCAGGGCCGCTAGGGGCGGCGACGGGGCCGTTAGGGGCGGCAACGGGGCCGCTAGTGGCGGCGACGGGGCCACTAGGGGCGGCGACGGGGCCGATAGGGGCGACGACGGGGCCGCTAGGGGGGGGGGGGCACGAAGGGCCTTGAAGGGCGGCGACGGAGCCGCTAGGGGCGGCGACGGGGCCGCAAAGGGGCCGCGAGGGGCCTCGAAGGGCGGCGACGGGGCCGCTAGGGGGCGGCGACGGGGCCGCGAAGGGGCCGCGAGGGGCCGAGAGGGGCGGGGACGGGGCCGCGAAGGGGCCGTGAGGGGCCTAGAGGGGCGGCGGCGGGGCCGCAAAGGACGGCGACGGGGCCGCTAAGGGTGGCGCGAGGGGCCGTGAGAGGCGACGTGAGGGCGGCCAACGGGGCGCGCCTCGGGCAGGGGCGACCCGCGCTCCGGTCAGGAAAAAATATCGAGTTCAGTGGTGGGCCTTGAGAAGCGTTCCCACTAGGGAACCTGCTCTATACCATGTGAAGAAATGAGGAATGAATGAACTAGAAAGGAGGTGGGTACAAGTAGGAAAACCTAGAAGTGTTGTACCCCATATTGTCTACCCCACTACAGCCTACACAGACTATAGCATAAGAGTTTGACAGATCAGCCTTTTTTTAGGGGTTAGGCTGAATCCAAAGTTTTTTGTTATGTACCTTGGCTGATTTTTCAGTGTTTTTTTTCTATACCTTGGCTGAATTTTCAGCCTGCTTGTATGAGTGTAGGCTGAGCACTCAGCCTTGAGAGTGGGTACGCACTGAAACCGGAATATAGTGATTTCCACCAGCACACCACTTCCACACGAGCTTCCTCCCCCATGTTCTGTGTTCCACTCGAATCGAATTGCACCCCCAAGCCCCCATGTTCCACTCGAATTTCCCCCCAGACCTAGTGTTCCACTCGAATTTCTCCACCAGCCCACGTGTTTCACCCGAATCTCCCCCCAGCCCACTTCGTCCACTCTAATAAACCCCCCTTTCAACTCCCCTCCAACCCACCCTGTTTCTCCCCTCAACCCAGGTTGCTCTCTCACCCCTTCTCCCAGCCCACCAGCTCGCACCTCCCCATAGCCCGCCCGCCTCCCTCGCCACTCCCAAACCAACCATAAAATTGTTACACAAAGTATATGTAATTCGTAATTCGGCTTAGAATCAAATATACTCACAATCAGCGTAATTTTTTTATGAACACTGATTATTCACTGTTTTTTTCCTATGTAAAGCTGACTGTCAGCGTTTTTTTTCCATACCTGGGCTGATGGATCAGCAAGGTCCAAAACGAATCTAGGGGCCTGGTTTACTATATGTACTCAACTGCCTGCTAGTGAAAACACCCTCTTTCCTATTTCTGAATCTTGCCTAGTCTTTTGACATGCTATCAGAGCGGTTACGCTCCTGGCCTGTGGGCCCACTGTTAGCTTCCGCTGCTGTCCTGTCTGTCGCGCGCCCCGTGGTGCGCGACGTTTTTTCTTCCCGCCACGCGCTCGGGGCACATGGTGGTTTCCTGCCCGCCGAGCGCTCAGGGCGCGCGGCAGTTTTCTGCCCGTCGTGCGCCCCGAGGCGCGCGGCGGTTTTCTGCCCCGTCGACCCGCGCGTCGCCCCCCGTCGCCCGTCGCAGCGCCCCCGGGGACCCGCGCGTTGCCCTCCGTCGCCCGAAGCAGCCCGCGCGACCCGCGCCAGGCCCGTGCGCGGCCCGTACAGCCTGCCCCAGCGCCGCGCACTGTCCTGCTTCACCAAGAGCACCGCCCCCACTGCTGCACGCTCTCCTGCCCCGTGCTGCCTATGTTAGGGTTTGGGGGTGGCGAGTATGGGGGTGACGGGTGTGTACACCGTCCCCTGCTCCTCCTCCTCCTTCGTCTCCCACTGCTGCAGCTACCGCTGAGGGGGGTGGATGTGTTGGAGCTGTCGGAGAGGGGGGTGGCGTGTGAGCAATACTAGGGGTACAGCAGGGAGTGTGTGAAAGGGGTGTGGGACAGTTGGAGGAGGTTGACCGGAGGTAGCCGGTGTGATGTCAGCATCGCCAGTAGTCCGGGGGTTGAGTGCTGCGGTAGCCCAGCGAGCCTGCTGCTGCCAAGTCGCCCGTGGGTCTGTTGCTCCTGCTGCTGCTGCAGCCAGTTACTCTTGTAGTCCGGAGGTTGAGTGCTCCGGTAACCACCATGCGCGCCATTCCTGTTGCCCGTGTGTCTGCAGCTTCACCACAGGCCTCCTATCTCCACTCCTCTCACAGTTCCTCCTCCTCCTCACTTGCCTTCTGTGACTTCCTCTAGCTCTGCTTGTATTTGTGAACCTACTGCTCTGCCTGCTTGCTGTGCTGATTATACCCCACTTTGACTATGGGGGTGTGTCAGAATGTGATGTTTGTCTAGCCTGCAGTGGGGTACTTTATAGCGAGTACAGCTCGAATTAGGGTTTGCTATATGTACTCAACTGCCTGCTAGTGAAAACCCCCTCTTTCCTGTTTCTGATTCTTGCCTATTCTTTCGACACCGCCCTGCCCGTGTATCCAATCGAGTGGTTTCCATGATAGCAGGCAACGCCATCCTGCCCGTCAACCAAACTCCAACTTCCGGACCCTTCCAAGAGCTCACCCACATCAAACTCTTTTCCGTCTCCTGTCCAGATCTACTCTCACCTCTTCTCTCCTGTATCTCCAGAACTTCTCTCTGTGGCAGCCATGGCTAGGAAGCACAAGACGGCAGCTGACGATGTTACCGACGTCCCGCGGGACCTCAATGAGATCCCGTACATCGCCTAGATCAACAAGCAGACTGCGGCGGGGCGCAAGCCCGCCAACCCGCTGCCTGAAGGATTACCGTCTCCTGGAGCCACCTCGTACGAAGCACCGCGTGACGTGCTCACGCGCGGGCGTCGGGACGCCAACAGGGTTGCGTCATCGCGCGTCGTCGACAACTACGCACACGACAACGACGACGATGACGACAGCGACTACAACGAGTACGCTGTCGGCACCGATGACGAGGCGGACTCACGGGAGGAGCCGGACAAGGGAATGTACGACTCTGAAGACGACGACGAGAGCGACGAGTCCGAGGATGCACCGGAAGAAACTCAGCCCGCAGCTCTGACCACGCGTGCTGGCGTGCTAAGCCCGCAGCCCGTGTTGCCACCGGCCTCGAAGGGTGGCGAACCTCCGCGCCGCGCTCCAAAGACCCGCAACCAGATACCTGTGAAGCGCAGCGTCTGGTCCCCGCTGGAGAACACCATCTTCGACGTGGCCCGCTGGTTCATGAAGGACGAACTCGAGTCCCTCGTCGGGAAGCAGGGCTCCCAGTATTGGGCGCGCCTTGTGGCTCACTAGAGAAGGAGAAGCCGGGGTGGGTTCGTGGCGTCAACGTCGTCCAGAAATAGTGGCGCAGCCTTGTCCAGGTCTACAAGCAGCTGAAGAAGGTGGAAAAGGCGTCGGGCAAGGGTACAGTGTGCAAGCCCCCGTGGTTCCTGTACATGGAGCTGTTCTAGAACAACAGGGCCGTTGCCAACCCGCATGCAGTGGCAGTCGGCGGCACGACGAACGTTAATGTGCCGTGCGGCTTCACGGTGCCTTCTACGTCGGCGCCCACCACGTCTACACCGACCTGTCAAATTATATCTGCTATATATGTTTAGGTTGTAGTGGGGTAGCCAATATGGGGTACAGCCACTTCTAGGGTTTCATATTTGTACCCAACATTTTCCTAGTTCATTCAATCCTGCCTAGCATTCTGACATGGTATTAAGAGCAGTAGGTCCGTAGGACCGATTTTTTTTTTTTTTTTTCGGGCCCACCTACCGTTGCGGTTACTGAGCTGCCCCACGTCGTCCTTGCGTTGCGCTGCCCGCGCGCGCCCTGCCTTGCCTACTGTGCGCTGCCCCGCGCGCGCCTCTGCCTTGCCTGCGCGCGCTGCCCTAGTCCCGAGCGCGCCGCCTGGTCCTACCCCGCGCGCCGCCTTAGGAGCCCGCGCGCGGCCCGCTGCTGCCCCGCGCGCCGCCTGAGGAGCCCGCGCGCAGCTCGCTGCTGCCCCGCGCACCGCGTCTACCGCCCGTGCAGCCCGTTGCTGCCTCGCGCGCTGCCTTACCCGCCCGCGCGCCGCTTCAGCAGCCTGCGCGCGCCTCCCCGCTGCCCTGCGCGCCGCCCTAGCCACGTGCGTGCCGCCTCAGCAGCTTGTGCGCTGCCACTACCAGCCCTGTGCGCAGCTTCTCCTATCTGTGCTCTGCCTTGCCGCCTACGCGCTACTCTCACCTGCCCTGCACTCATGGTGACTCTCAATGTCCTAGCTTTCGATTATGACGGCCGCCCGATAGAGTTTGCCACTTGGCTCGTACGACCTGCAACTGTTCCTTCTGACTGATGCCAAAGACGGAGTTTCACTGTTCGATTACGTGACTGGCACTTCCGTTGCTCCCTGCTGACACTGCTACCTCTCTTGACCGCTCACAGTGGCAGACTCGCGATGCTGCTGCGCACCTTGCTATTTGCAACCATCTGCCGATCACTAAGCGCGCGCACTTTAGTCAGCACAAGACTACTAATGCACTGTATGAGGCTGTAGTTGCCCGCTACTCTTCCCCAGCCACTGCAGCCGTAGGCCGTCTCATGCTACCCTACCTATTCCCCGACCTGTCCTCGTTTACCACCGCTGAGGACCTCATCTCTCACCTCCTCGTTAGTGACGCTCGCTTTCGTGCCGAGTTCCTCGCCGAGAATCACCCCCCGATGTACTTTACTCTCTACTTCCTCATCACCCGCCTCCCTGACACTCTTCGCTCAGTTAGGGACCACTTTCTCGCCCTAGATCCGACCACTCTCACTGTTGCTGACTTCGAGACGCACCTCCTAGCAGCTGAAAAGAACATTCTCGCTGTAGGTGCTGCTCGAGGCACTCCTCGCACTCCCCTCTTTTAGGGGTGCTCCCCCTCCCCTCTTGCCCCCTCCGACGCCTCTGTTGTTGTTGCTCTCGACTACCTTGGTGTTGAGGAGGTCGGGGCTGCTTCCGCTCCTAGTGGGAAGCGGCGCAGCACTAGGGGCAGCAGGGGTGGCAAGGGAGGTGGAGGGTGGCGGTGGAGGGGGCGGTGGTGGAGGCGGCGGGGGTGGTGGAGGTGGGTGGGGGTGGTCGTGGGGGTGGAGGTGGTGGTGGGGGCCGCGGGGATACCGAGGGCAGTGGAGGTGGCAGCGACGGAAAGTGGGGGAGGGAGGGAGCGGTGGTGGCAACGGTGGTGGGAGCTGGAGTGGGAGTCGGCTAGAAGGGGAGCTTCGGTGGTGGCCAGGGACAGCAGCAGCAGCAGCGTCAGCGTCAGACCCCCCACGCCTCAGCAGCTTCATAACTGGTACGCTCAGCGTGGGGCGTCTGGGGGTCCTGTTCGCTGCACCTATACCATTCGTACATGTCCCCCGCGCTGCGTCACCCATGCAACGGCTTTCACACGGGAGTACCGTTGCTCTCTCTCGGCTCAGCGACGCCTGACGCATCAAGTTTCCTGAGGCTACTGAGTTTCCCCCCTTAGGGCAGATCTGCTTAGGCGTGATGTTCCTATCTTGATCTTGACTATGATGCTATTCTTGCTGCCATGTATGCATTGACTGTTAGTGCTGAGGGTGACTGCTACTTGTGTGTACCGCCTTGACCCACATATAGCCCCAGGTATAGAGCCTGCAGCCCTAGGTGCTAGTGAGTCTGTTCTCCCTAGTACTGCGTCCGCTCAGGCCTTGCACACCTTTACACTTGACTCTGGTGCTTCCCTCTGTTTCTTTCGCGAACAGCACCACACACACTCCCCTCCCTGCACTGTCCCTGTCTCACTGGCTGACCCCTCTGGGGGCCCAGTGCTAGCACGGTCCACCACTGTGCTTCCGTGTCCGGCGGTCCCGTCTGGTGAGCTGTCTGGTCTCCACCTCCCCTCGTTCTCTACGAACCTGTGGAGCAACGCCGTCCTTCAGTATCATTGGGTTGGCACCTTTACTCCTGGAGGACAGCGTGTTGGCGATCTGCACGTGCTCCTCGGGACTGGCCGCCACTTGGCCACGTTCACACGTGCGCCTGGGTCCAGTCTGTACACCTTCACCACTGCGTCGCGCTACACCCCTTTGTCTCCTCAGTTGTATGTGTCCGCTCAGGTAGCTACCCAGTGTGAGTGGTCGCCGCCTGTCGCACCAGACTCTCCTTTGGCACCACCGACTTGGTCACCCCTCCTTGCATCGCCTTCGTGGCATGCACTCTGACCTACTGGTCTCTGGTCTTACAGGGTCCTCTGCGCCCTCCCTCCCTCCCTCGCCTGCGACGCCCTGCATTCCTTGCATCGAGGGGCGGCAGCGCGCCGCTCCTCACTCCTCCTTGTTCCCATCCCACAGAGGCTCCACTGCAGACTCACTCCACATGGACGTGTGGGGCCCAGCCCGCGTCCGTGGACACAGCCACGAGCGGTACTTCCTGCTGGTCGTCGACGACTACACGCGTTACACCACACCCGGTCTTCCCCTTGCAGCGCAAGGGAATGTCCCTGCTGTTTTTGATCCTTGGATCCCGCACTGTTCGTCTCCACTCCGGCGAGCGGTTCGAGTCGGACTTTCCTGTTCTGCGTCTGCACTCTGATAGAGGTGGTGGGTTCTCCTCTGACCT